CTGTCTCGTGTCCTCTCTGGGGCAACAGCCTGTTTGAGAAGTGTGAGAGCTTGGTGAAGGTCAAAGGCTTCCCTCCCTGGACATCACAGATACGAGACTGTGACCAGACACTGTCTCCAGAACCAGAAGCTACACTTGAGAGGAACGAGCAGACCACAGATGAAAGGATCTGTTGGAGTGTGACGGCAGCAGCAGACTTCAGAGTGTGAGAGAGCTTCATGCTCAGATGTTGTGTGGATGAATTCTGATTTCCTCCTCGTTAAGCTTCAAGAAATATTTCAGCATCAGACGTTAAAGGACTCCTGAACTCTTTCTTCACTGACGAGGTGACAACAAAGTGTTTTACCTAAACCTGTGGATTTAACTGGACAGTGTAGGTCCCTGTGCACCAGTTGTCAGAAGCTGTGTTGTGTTACCTTGTCGTGCAGCAGCTGCTTCATGTCTCTTTGCAGTTTGTTCACAGAGTTTTCAGCTTCAGTCAGTTTCATCTTCACAACACTGAGTTCATCCTCCAGACGACTGTTCTCCTGAACATCAACACAACATGAACAGTCACACAAACTGACAGATAGGGGGCAGCAGAGGAGCTGTTTGGTTTTGTGAATGGAGTCTGGTTCACACTGATACAACTACTGTAGTTCTACATATATAAACTATATTAACTGAATCATGTGATCCTGCAGCAGCAGGTGAGTGATGCGTTCACCTGTGCGACGCTGCACAACTCCTCCTGCAGCTGCGCCTCCTGCACTCTGAGCAGCTGCAGCTCCCCCTGCAGGATGCTGCGCTCACGCTCCACCTGCTGAAGCAGAGCCTCGCTCTCCTGCTCCGACTGCGTGCGCAGTGTTGCCAGCCTATCACGGAAGTCCAGCTCCAGGTCCCTGTCGATCACAGAGCAGGTCGTCAACACACGTCATCATTCCTTTGATTAAAGAGGACGTGAATGAACGGCAGCTAAATACGAGCTCACGTTGTGTTGATCACGTTTCACATCAACTCTGACACGTTCGTCCGTTGTTAAGTTTTTGAAATTCTCCTTTTTCTGACGTCTTCTCATGATTAGATGGAAAATAAATAAGTCTGTAAACTATGTCTGTAAAAACCTTGAGAGCAGGACACAGAGAATAATGTGCAGGTGTCACCTGATCCTGCTTTGGTTCAGCGACTCCATGCTGGCGTGACGGTCGTCCACCTCCCTCACCAGCTTCAGGTTCCTCCGATCGGCCAGATCCAGGTCCGCTCTCACCTTGTCCCGCTCCCTGCAGGCCTGCTCCGCCATCACCCTACACACACACACACACACACACACACACACACACACACACACACACACACACACACACACCAGTTAAACTCTGTGTTTCAGGTTAACCTGTCAGTAACTTAACAACCTCAGTGGTTTAATGTGTGAAGCAGAAAAACCTGAAAACCTACTGCAGGTGCTGGATCTCATTCTTGTAAGAGATCAGCGCCGCCTGCTGGATGCCGTTCCCGCTGACCAGCAGCTCGTTGTCCAGGGCCAGAGTCAAGTCGGCCAGACTGAGACGCTCCTCCAGAGGGAAGTCCAGAGTCTGAGGAGATGACAGAAAAGGTTATCTGGTTCAGATCAGTCTGAGTCCTGGTCCTGGTCTCACTCACCTGCAGGATGTCCCGGCTGTTCCTGATGCCCTCCTCCATCCAGAGGGCGATGACCCGCTCGGGGCTGGTGCATCCTGCGCCGTCGTCCAGCCGGCTGAGGACTTTCTGACCCACGGTGGCCGTCAGCAGGGAGGGCGAGGTGGAGCGAGCAGAGTGCTCCTCTAACAGGATCTGAGTCTATATGAGGGACGAGGTCAGAGGTCACTCAGAGCTCACTCTGCTCTGACCAGCAGGTCTGTTCTGGTGGAACCTTAAATCTGGATCAGTGTCATGAGCACAAACATCCAGAGCCACATCACACACTCTTATTTCTGAACCATCTTCACCTGAGTGTAGCAGAACGTCCCGCTGTCTGTCCTCGTCCTGTCTGTCTTCCCCCACGTTAACAAACCACAGCCTGACATCAAACCTGTGCTACAGTACATGACTGCTACCTGTCTGTCTGCTAACCTGCAGCACCTGTGTCCTGGGGAGTCAGCTGTCTCCTGATTGAGCTAGGCTAATAGGTTGAGAGGTAATGCTGCATTCAGGAGCTCCACGGAAAAGAGAGAATCACGTCTCAGTTTGAAATGAACGGCAGCTGAGTCAGTGACGACTGAAGTTCTCTTTTAACTTTTTACTCTCTGACACAGTCACACAGAGTGTCAGTGATGTGAGTTTCCACCATGAGCCTGCAGAACCTCCTCGGTTTCTCCTTGTCTGCTCTTCAAGTGTATTGATCTCTACCGAAGGGAAGAATACTTTTATTACAAAGAAAATGTCCTCAATTGGTGTTTAGCTGCTGGTGGAGAACGTCTTCCTCGTCTCCAGAAGAACCCTCAAACTCCTGAGAGTCTCCTCAATGAACACTACAACCTTTTTACTGACGACTACAACCTCCTACAAGCATCTGTACAACCTGTTCAGTGACATTTGAACACCGCTGAGAGCTACCAAACAATTTCGTTGTACAATGACGATAAAACCTGTTGAATCTTGAATTTGAATCTTCTACACAACCTGTACAGCCAACGTCAGTCTGTGGAACAGACCTTAACTGATAAATCCCAGTGAATTATTACATTTTGTGTGTTTCTGTTTTAACTGCCACAGTTTTCCAAACCTTTAGTTCAATCGAGCTAAAATCTATGATTCTAGGA